TCTTTTAATCTTTCCAAAATAATTCTACTTAATATTTTTCCAGGAACTGACAGCAACATAATTCCTCTATAGTTTTCACACTCCTGTAGATCACCTTTTTTTGGGCAGTTTCACAAGATATCCTTCTCTCCAGTCTGCTGGTATTTCTTCGGTCTCCCAGACTTTACTGAATAATCTATGTAGCAATTCTGTTGATGTGTTTATGTTGGTCCTGATGGCTTCAGCTGGGATACCATCTGGGCCTGACGCCTTTCCTTCCTTAAGAAGATTTATAGCTTTTCTAATTTCCTCTTTGGATGGTATCTCACAGTTGATATCCAGTTCCATTTCTAAAGGCTGGATATCTGGGGGAACCTCTGGGCCTATTTAGAAGCATTTCAAAATATTCAACCCATCTGTCCATTTGATCTTTAGTGTTAGTAAGTACCTTTCCTTGACTATTTTTGATTGATCCAGTTGGCTGACTATATTTACCTACTAATTTTCTTGTGTTACTGTAAAGTTCTCTGAGGTTTCCTTTTGCTGCTGCTGTCTCCGCTTCTTGTGCTAGATCATTAAGATATTTCACTTTATCTGCCCTTATATGCCTCCTAACTTCCTTGTTGGCTTCTGTGTAATTCTCCTGACCTCTAGCTTTAGCAGCTCTAGTTTTGCTATTGTTTAATTCTGCCTTTTTACTTTTCCTATCTTCAATCAGTTTAATGGTTTCTGGTGTTATCTATGCTTTATGTTTCCTTTCTTTCTTGCCAAGAACTTCTACGCAAGATTCATTCCAGATTCCTTTAATCTGATCCCAGCAGACTTCTGTGCTGACATCTTCAGCTAACTGCTGCAACACCTGGTACTTATTAGAGACCGTAACTGAGAACTGTTCCTTAACTTATTTATCCCTGAGAAAGCCTATATTATATTGGTTTCTATGATTATAAGATGTTATATATCTTTTTAATTTCAACTTGATTTTACTTACCACCAGGAAATGGTCAGTAAATACATCAGCACCTCTGAAAGCCCTAACATCATAAAGGGATGATCTAAACTTTTTGTTAATACATAGGTGGTCAATTTGATTAGTTGTCTTATGGTCTGGTGATTCCCATGTTGCCTTGTGTATTCTTTTATGGGGAAAAATACTTCCACCAATAACATACTGGTTTCCTGCACAAAAATTTGTGAACAATTCACCATTTTCATTCATTACTCCTAGACCATGTCTTCCCATAATTTCTTCATAACCTGTGTTGTCTGATCCTATCTTAGCATTCAAGTCGCCCATCAAAATTTTTAGGTTGCCCTTTCTTTCATTATTTATAATATTTTGAAGCTGCATGTAAAATTCTTCCTTAACAGATGCATCTTTATCATTTGTTGGTGCATAACACTGTATTACCGACATGTTCACCTTCTGTTTCACTGTTCTGAAAGATGCTCTTATTATTCTGGGACTCACAGCTTCCCATTCTATTAGTGCCCTGTCTGCTTCTTTTGATATCATCAGGGCCACTCCTTCACTGTGCGGCAAATTTTCCTCTGTGTGTCCTGAGAACAAAATAGTTTCCCCTGAATTTAGAATACTTTTCCCTGCCCCAGTCCATCTAGTTTCACATAACCCTAAATACTAATTCTATAATGTTTCATTTCCTTTGCTACTTCCATTGTTCTCCCAATATCATAGAGAGTTCTAACATTCCAGGTGCCAATTCTGGAGGTTTTCCTAGCTGAGAGGAGGTACGTCAACGATCTGGACTCCTTACGGCTTTCTCCACACCGTGTCATACTTCTTCTATTTGAAGAGCCTCCCCTCATCTTGGTTGGCTGGAGTTTATTTGCTTCTCTTTTTGACTTATCCATCGTTGGTTGGTTTTTGTGGCTATGGTTTTTACAGGATGAGGTAGCCAACCTCACGCCCAACCCTACCCTTAGTCGCCTCTTACGACATGCCTGGTAGGGTGCAGTGTCACTATTCTTTGCTTCCCGTGAGGGCCCCGGTGACACACGGGCAAGGAATACAAATAGTGTATTAAAAAAAAAAACACATTCATAATGTCAAATGTACGCTGAGCTTTTACTTCACATAAAGTAGCACAGAATAGTCATCTTCTTCTTTAGCATTCTGAGCCCTTGAGGTTTACTGCTGCAGATATCACTCGTCTCCATTCATCTCTCTGGCTGGCCTTCTCTTCAAAATTTGTGACACCAGTTGTTTGCAGGTTTGGCTGGACATTATCTCTCGAACTTCTTTTTTGTCTGCTCCGTGATCTACGACCATTCATCTCCCTTGTGTATACAGTTTTTACTTCTCTGTCATCTGCCATTCTTTTAATATGCCCCAACATTTCAGTCTATTAGCTCTCATGATGCCAGTGATCAATGGTGATTTAAACAGATTATGTGTTACGTTGTTGCTTCTCACTCTCCATTACCCGCTGTTAGCATCTTTGATATGTCCAAAGATTTTTCGTAAGACTGTTTTAGAAAACCTGTAATAAGGCCTCATCTCTTTATTTCTGCTTCAAGTTTCAGAGCCATATAAAACGTCTGGTCTTATCAATGTTTTATATATTATGATTTTGATGTTGCGAGACAGACACTTTGACTTTAGTAGATGTTGAAGGGCATAGTATACTTGTTTTCTAGGTTGCATTCTGCATTGTATTTCTTCTCTCAGCATGTTGGAGCAGTTGAAGTTTGCACCCAAGTACTTATATGTTTCCGTTCGTTTGATTTTTATATTATCGACTTGGATGTGGCCGGAGTTTATATTCTTTCCATGTCTAGTTAGAATAGTAAACATTTAAAAACATTTTATGTTTTGCATTCTTCAGTCAGTTTGTGGTAACTAACAACAAAACCAATCATTCCATGTTGTCAGTATTAAGGCCGTGTATGCAGAAGCAGGTGTAAGGTTACTACTATTCGTATTCGGCTCAACCGCAACTATTCGGCCTAATACCGAATAGTCAATAGGTCCACTATTCGGCCCCAAAGCGAATACGAAGCGAATATTCGGTACAGCCCTATTAAGAACACATAACTCCTCTTTTTGATCCCATTTTGTAATTTTTATTTGGAGGTTGGGGGAAGATGGGGTTGGGAGCCGTGGAGGTCTTCAAATATACTCAAGGGGAACAGGGGAGTCTTTATATACGCAGTATATGCAAGAGAGGATGTGGTGGTCTTGCCATATACTCAAAGGGGGTCCCGCCTGAAAAAGTTTAGAGACCATTGAGATAATGAGATGAGATATTCAGTTTTTCCCCCCTTCTGTGCTATCTCCACAATGAAGGTTGGCTACAGTCAACCACTGTCATTTTTGGAAAAATTGCGTGGTGAGGCCAAATCTCTTCCACTGTGTGAATCTCGTTTTGCTGTCTGAAAACCACAATAATTTTTTTCAGAAAATGCACTTCCCCCCCACCACACACACACATGCATGCACACACACACACACACACATGGTTCACTTTTCTTTACTTACTTTACTTAGTCAATCCTCTACTACCTTAGGGTGTAGAGGTTTGCCAGAGAGATCACCAGACTTCTCTATCTGCAGTTTTCTTTTTTGGCTTTGTTCCATTCTATTCCTTGGCCTCGCATGCCTTTCATGGTGGCTGTCTCTCGTATTCTCTGTACATGTCCACACCATCGTAACTGATAGTTAACTCGAGTTTGTAAGGCCTGGGTTTCAAGATCCTGACATATTGTCTGATTGCAAACTTTGTCCCTTCTTGTCACTTGGACTACTTTTATCAGATATCTAATTTCTGAGGCCTGAAGCTGGCTTCTGTGGGCTGTTGTCATTGCCTACAATTCACACCCGCAGGTCAGGACTGGTACATAGGTAAAGCAACAGCCATTTTCATCCTCTTGCCAGTTTCTCTTCTGCTGAAATGTTTCAAGTCTCCCAGCTGCTGCTTTTCACACAGTTCACATATATCAACCAGTGCACACATGGTCATCAAACTGAAGTATTCTCTAGAATGAAGCAGTCCGTCTCCTTGCTAACTCTCTTTAGCCATCTGTTTCTGCGTGTAGCAACGCTCTAATGCCTGAATCAACACAAAATGGCCAGCCAGCAAATCTGACTGTGGCTGCCATATTGGGATTGTGAAACTGTGTTTGCAACCCCTAAGTCACAGATGCTGACTGAACTGAAAGAAAAAGAAATAACAGTATTGACTGCATAAACATAGCTTGACTTTGTTAGAATTCTGTGTGACTACACAAAATTGGGAGATTTTATGTTAGAATTATCTGGGACTACACAAACATTGGCGGACTTTATGTTAGAATTATGTGTGACTACACAAACATCGGGAGATTTTATGTTAGAATTATGTGGGACCTACACAAACATTGGGAGATTTTATATTAGAATTTTGTGTGACTACACAAACATTGGCGGACTTTATGTTAGAATTATGTGTGACTACACAAACACTGGGGGGAACTTTATGTTAGAATTCTCTGTGATTACACAAAAAATTAGGAGACTTTATGTTAGAATTCTTTGTGACTACACAGACATTGGAAGATATGTTAGAATCCTGTCTGCCTAGACAAACATTGGAAGACTATTTTATTTATGACCACACCAATATTTGGGAGACTTATTTTAGTTTGTGACAACACAAACTTGGGAGACTTTATGTTTGCAGTCTTTGTTTGTGCCACACAATGGTAATGTTATACACCACTTTTCTACAAATTCGCTAGCATATACATGTCACCACATTGACATAAAACAGAAGCTAGAACGTGTTATATGTTTATTACTTAACTCTTTGAGTCCCAAGGAACACATCATACGTTCATTGGTTCCTACCTAGAAGCCCAATGAACGCATGATGCGCCGATTTTATTACTTTCTTTACTACCCCCTGGGCCTGTGATGCTAAACCATCTGGGACTTAAAGAGTTAAACAGAAATGTAGAGAAAATGTTGATATGATGTCAGTTGATGACACAATAAAACATAATGAGCTGACATGTTGTTCCAGCCAAGAAAATACTGACTGAGCTCTTGTTACCTGAAACTAGTCCAAGGTCACTGACACCGCATGTTTTTGGTGAAGATTACTTCAGCGTCTTGGCATCGTTGGACGTAAGGCTGCCTAGAATAGAAATGTTACATCGTTGGCATTTGTGTGTTTACACGTGGTTTCACAAGGCTTTTTAATGTCTTCTTCTTCTTTGCATTTACCGGCTGTAAACTCTGGCATAAAATACTGGTCGTTCAGCCGCCTCTGGACTTTAGACTTGTTCCAGAACATGAGTTATACATGCATATCTGTTTTACAGATCTGACTTATTTGTTTGCAGCCTGTTGGTTCTTTGCCTCTCAGGCAGATGCACTCCGACTTCAAAAGACACCCCCAGTTAGTTGACTCTTACGACATGTTAGTTGAGAAGGCAATGCGTCCATTCTTGTTTTCCCCACAATAGGGCCGTGGAACCATGTGTGGAACTTTTTGGTGTAACTTTATACTATCTTCACCCATGGTTACAGGTGTCAGTATAACTTTGTTACCTGCATATTCTCACATGGTTACATACGTTTACTTACAGACATTCAGTTGATGTCACTTTGATACTTATATGATCACATAGGGTTACTGTGTGTTATCTGTGTGTTCACACATTTTTACAGATGTCTAAGTGGGTTAGTCTGTATATTCATAAGGTCACACATGGTTACTGGTGGTTAGTTGCCGCAACATTATTTGTGTATGTCCACACATTGCTACAGATGTCTAGGAGTGTATATTATGTTCACACACTGTTACAGGTGGTTAGTTGGTGTAACTTTGTTATTTGTATGTCCACGCATTGCTACGGATGTCTGAATAGTTGAGCATGTATATTCATATGTTCACACATGGTTACATATGGTTAGTTGGCTAATTTTATGACACATATTTATAGATATCCACTGAGCTTAGCTTGGCTTGTGTTTTTCACACAGATTGCTGGTCTGCCTAGCTTTGTGAAGCTGGTGGAGGTTGGTCCCAGGGATGGCTTACAGAATGAACAGGTTGGTGTAGTAAATCCCATAATCTCCATGCGTTGTCCACACATGTTATCCCCTGTGATGTACGCATGTAAATATCTACAGTCCAGAATCTCTGTGACTCGACAGTATATGCAAGCTTGTAAATCTGCTTTTGAAGACAGTATTTTATTTGACAGTCACCTGAGGGACCGTCTAACATAAATAAATAGAATGCATTCTTACAGGACTGTCTGATATAAATAGATAGAATACATTCTTACAGGAATGTCTGATATTGCAGAACCAACCCCAGCTCTTTCTGGCTGTTGTGGTTTTTCTAGGCAAATTTACGTCCAGTAGCTTGCCATTTCTTTCTGGATGGTCTTCTCAGATGCAAACATGTTTGATATAAATAAATATAATACATTCTTAGGGACTGTCTGATGTTGAAAAAAAAAAAAAAAAATTACATTCTTACAAGACTGTCTGATATAAATAAATAGATTACATTCTTACACTACTGTCTGATATAAATAAATAGATTACATTCTTACACTACTGTCTGATATAAATAAATAGATTACATTCTTACACTACTGTCTGATATAAATAAATAGATTACATTCTTACACTACTGTCTGATATAAATAAATAGATTACATTCTTACACTACTGTCTGATATAAATAAATAGATTACATTCTTACACTACTGTCTGATATAAATAAATAGAAAAAAAATATTATGGGACTGCCTGACATAAATATAATAGAATAAATTTTGAGGACCATCTGACACTAATAAATAGTATCGATTGTTACAGGAATTTCCTATGTATAGCCAGCTGTATCAGTGCACAAAAAGCCAGGTATATGCATTTAAAAGCCTGGTATTTCTGCACAAAAAGCCTGGTATGTCTACACAAAAGGCCAGGTATATCTTCACAAAAAGCCAGGTATATCTTCACAAGAGGCTGCATAAATCTGCACAGAAAGCCAGGTATATCTGCACAAAAAGCTGAATATATCGGGTGTATCTGCACAAGCAACCAGATATATCTGCACAAAACCCAGATATATCTGCACACAAAAAGCCAGGTATATCTGCACAGAAAGCCAGGTGTATCTGTGCACAGAAATCCAGGTGTGTGTGCTGTTCACTAAAAGCCGGGCATAAATATTGTCCACTAAAAGCCAGATGTGTTGTCCACATAAAGCCACATGCATCTTGTCTACTAAAACCAAATGTGTGTGTGTGTGTGTGTGTTATTCACAGAAAGCCAGGATTTATATATTGTCCACAGAAAACCATGTTTGCATTTTGTCCACAGAAAGTTAAGTTTGTTTGTGTGTATGTTCTCCACAGAAAGCCAGGTGTGAGCGTATTGTCCACTAAAGCCGGGTATGTGTTGTGCACAGAAAGCCAGATGTGTGTGTTTCACACAGAAAGCCGGGTGCATATGTGTGTGTTTTCCAGTAAAAAGCCAAGTTTGTGTTGTCCACACAAGCACCACATGTATCTTGTCCCAAAAATAAAAAGCCATATGTATGTGTGTTATCTGTTAAAATACATGTTTGTATGTTGTCTACAGAACATTGAGTATGTGTATTGTCCACTAAAAGCCAGGTGTATGTGCGTTGTCCACTAATAACACTAACATTAACTGATGTTCTTATACACATCTCAGAGTATGGTTCCAACAGACATCAAGGTTGAATTCATCAATCGACTGGCTGATGCAGGACTGCCTTATATAGAGGCAACCAGTTTTGTGTCTCCCAAGTGGGTGCCTCAGGTAGTCAACTGTTATCACTTCATCATAGTTTGTTATCTAAAAGCTGCAGTATGTTCTAGACTGACTAATTCCCTGTGTTAATTGTTACAGGACAATTTGGATTTCTTTAAATTAGCTAATGAAAGCTGGTCAATATATACAGCTATAAGGAAAAAGGCAAGCACTGTTTTTTGGTCATGTGATGAGTGGGGAGGCTTTAGGGAATATTGTGATGACTGGGAAGATCAGCAGTAGAGATGACTGGAAAAATCAATGGTAGAAGAGGGAGAAGCAGATCGAAAGAGATGATGATGGATAGACTGCGACTGTGGCATGGAGGGATATCATCAGTGGAACTGATCCAGAGAACAAGGAACAGAGATCTGTGGAGATGCATGAACGCCTACGCCAATGGCAGGGCAAGCAATGAGGATGACAGTGTAAACAAGTTTATTCTGTAAGCTAAACCGGACATCCCACACTTTGCCAATGGCTTCGGATGGAAGAGCAGTGTTCAGAGGATACTAGCAGTTGGTTTTGGAGGGAAGCTCCAACAGGCGGGCGGACAGAACACTGTTCTTCTGATCTAAAAGCTTCTGCAACCTGCTTTGTTCCAAACATGCTGTTGTAACTTTTCCTTTGGAGTAAACAAGGCAGACCGAGGGAGGGATCATGATGCATGGGCAGTACATGGTCTCTACAATATTGCCCAGGCTGTATGCTATAGAGAGGGTGAGCTTCATTCTCATGCCTCCCCATAGCACAGTATAACACTGTTGTCTGGAAAGACAGAAAAGTACAACAACAACAACAGTATTCTGTAAGCTGTAATGTGTTCTTGTATCACAAGTTCATTTCATAAGCAAGCAATAATATGCTCTCATATAATTAGTTCATTCCATTAGCTGGCTTATGCTCTTGTATCACTAGTTCATTTCATAAACAAGTTGTAATATGCTCTTGTATAATTAGTTCATTCTATAAGCTGGCTTATGCTCTTGTATCACTAGTTCATTTCATAAACAAGTTGTAATATGCTCTTGTATAATTAGTTCATTCTATAAGCTGGCTTATGCTCTTGTATCACTAGTTCATTTCATAAACAAGTTGTAATATGCTCTTGTATAATTAGTTCATTCTATAAGCTGGCTTATGCTCTTGTATCACTAGTTCATTTCATAAACAAGTTGTAATATGCTCTTGTATAATTAGTTCATTCTATAAGCTGGCTTATGTTCTTGTATCACTAGTTCCTTCTCTAAACTGCAATATTTTTTTGCATCACTACATCTTTCTCTAAACTGTAATATGTTATTGTATCACTAATTCATTCTCTAAGCTGTAATATTTTCTTGTACCACTAGTTCATTCTCTAAAATGTATTATATTCTTTTACCACTAGTTCATTCTCTAAGGTGTATTATATTCTTGTACCACTAGTTCATTCTCTAAGGTGTATTATATTCTTGTACCACTAGTTCATTCTCTAAGGTGTATTATATTCTTGTACCACTAGTTCATTCTCTAAAATGTATTATATTCTTTTACCACTAGTTCATTCTCTAAGGTGTATTATATTCTTGTACCACTAGTTCATTCTCTAAGGTGTATTATATTCTTGTACCACTAGTTCATTCTCTAAGGTGTATTATATTCTTGTACCACTATGTACCACTAGTTCATTCTCTAAACTATAATATGTTCTTGTGTCACAAGTTCATTCTCTAAACTATAATATGTTCTTGTGTCACAAGTTCATTCTCTAAACTATAATATGTTCTTGTGTCACAAGTTCATTCTCTAAACTATAATATGTTCTTGTGTCACAAGTTCATTCACTAAACTATAATGTGTTCTTGTGTCACAAGTTCATTCTCTAAACTCTAATATGTTCTTGTGTCACAAGTTCATTCTCTAAACTATATGTTCTTGCGTCACAAGTTCATTCTCTGAACTGTAGTATGTTTTGGTTGACAGATGGCCGACCACAGTGAAGTGATGAAAAGAATCACCAGGCGCCCAGGTACAGTCTTTTCTGCTCTAACACCAAACCTCAAAGGCTTTGAGGCAGCGGTCAGTTGATATTTTGTGTGGTGTTTTTCTATTTTACTTTTTCAAATGTGCATGTTGACAGTTCTGTGAACCTGTGTCTGATTAGTGATTTTCTCTTCTATTTTCTCCTGTGCCTGTCCCCATGTTCTACAGTGTCTGACCTATGTGGTTTCCCCAGTTCTACAGTGTCTGTCCTGTGTTTATTTCCCTATTCTAAAGTGTCTTTCCTGTGTCTGTTCCCCTGTTCTTCAGTGTCTTTCCTGTATCTGTACCCTGTTCTACAGTATCCTTCCTGTGTCTGTCCCCCTGTTCTTCAGTGTCTTTCCTGTATCTGTACCCTGTTCTACAGTATCCTTCCTGTGTCTGTCCCCCTGTTCTTCAGTGTCTTTCCCGTGTCTGTCCCTCTGTTCTTCAGTGTCTTTCCTGTGTCTTTCCCCCTGTTCTTCAGTGTCTTTCTTGTGTCTGTCCCCCTGTTTTTCAGTGTCTTTCCTGTGTCTGTCCCCCTGGTCTGCAGTTTCTTTCCCGTGTCTGTCCCTCTGTTCTTCAGTGTTTTTCCTGTGTCTGTCCCTCTGTTCTTCAGTCTTTCTTGTGTCTGTCCCCATGTTCTTCAATGTCTTTCCTATGACTGTCCCCCTGTTCTACAGTGTCTTTCCTGTGTCTGTCCCCCTGGTCTGCTGTGTCTTTCCTGTGTCTGTCCCTCTGTTCTTCAGTGGCTTTCCTGCGTCTGTCCCCCTGTTCTTCAGTGTCTTTCTTGTGTCTGTCCCCCTGTTCTTCAGTGTCTTTCCTGTGTCTGTCCCCCTGGTCTGCAGTGTCTTTCCTGTGTCTGTACCTCCGTTCTTCAGTGTCTTTCCTGTGTCTTTCCCCCTGTTCTTCAGTGTCTTTCCTGTGTCTGTCCCCTGTTCTATAGTGCCTTTCCTGTGTCTGTCCCCCTGTTCTACAATATCTTTCTTGTGTATGTCCCCCTGTTCTACTGTGTCTTTCCTGTGTCTGTCCCCCTGGTCTGCAGTGTCTTTCCTGTGTCTGTCCCCCTGTTCTACAGTGTCTTTCCTGTGTCTGTTGCCCTGTTCTTCAGTGTCTTTCCTGTATCTTTACCATGTTCTACAGTGTCTACCCCATGTCTGCTTCCCGGTTCTAGAGTGTTTGCCTCATGTCTGCTTCTCTGTTCTACTAGAACAGCAAGTTAAATAGGGTGTGTGGCCAAAGAAGAATTAAAAAAAACCAACAAAGAGCTGGTGTCATCAGCCGCCACACGCTGCAGGATTTACTGAGAAGGGGATCCGAGCACTCATGGACTGAATGGCCCCCATGTCTGTTGACTAACTAACTAACAGTATCTGCCCCACATCTGCTTCCCTGGTCTGCATTGTCTGATTCCCTGTTCCACAGTGTCTATCCTGTGTCTGCTACCTGTTCCTCATTGTCTTTCCTCTGTTCTGTTGTTTCTCCTTGTCTGTTTTCCTTTCTGCAGTGTCTGTCCTGTGTCTATTCCCCTGCTGTCCAGTGTCTGTTCTCTATCTGTCCACCTGTGTCTGTGTGAATGAAGTCATTAAACAGGTCTTCTTTGTTTCCCCTCATTTGCAGGTTGCAGCCGGCGTCCAGGAAGTGGCTATATTTGGTGCTGCTTCAGAGACATTTTCCAAGTAAATTATCTCCCTTTGTTTGCATGTTTAGTCATCTCCCCTGTTTTTTTTCTGCAGCTTTCTCCCCCAGTGTTTGCATACAGTTATCTGTTACTATTCTGGATTGCATCATTTGTGGTTATGCTAGATGTGTGATGGTTCTGTCATTTGTAAAAGACCGTATTTAGGCTTGAAAATTGGGCACACACAGAGACATTAACACAATCTTGTCAGTGTGGTCTCGCATATATGATACTCATTTTGTATGAGTGACTAGGCATATGGGATACTCAATCTTGTATGGGTGACCTGGCATATAGGATACATAATCTTTTATGATGACCTGGCATAAAAGATACTTAGTCTTGTATGGTATGTGTATACAATTATATATGTGTGAACTAACATATATGACACATGAGCATGTATATGTGAACTGACGTATGTAATACACAAGCATGTGTGTTTTAACTTACATTTATGACACTCAAATGTGTATGTTTGAACTGATATTTATGACACAAGTGTATATGTGTGAACTGACATATCTGACACACAAGCATGTATGTGTGAACTAACATATCTGACACACAAGCATGTATGTGTAAACTAACATATCTGACACACAAGCATGTATGTGTGAACTAACATATCTGACACACAAGCATGTATGTGTGAACTAACATATCTGACAACACTATCTGACACACACAGCATGTATGTGTGACAAACTGGCAGCCAAGTACATATCTGACACACAAGCATGTATGTGTAAACTAACATATCTGACACACAAGCATGTATGTGTGAACTAACATATCTGACACACAAGCATGTATGTGTGAACTAACATATCTGACACACAAGCATGTATGTGTGAACTGACATATCTGGCAGCCAAGTGCATATGTGTGAACTAAAATATCTGGCAGCCAAGTGTATATGTGTGAACTAACATATCTGAGACACAAGTGACTGTGTGTGAATTGACATATCTGACATACAGTCATATATGTTTTGAACTGATATATCTGACACTTAAGTATGTATTTGTGAACTGACATATCTGATACACTAGCATGAATGCGGGAACGGATATATCTGACACACAAGTGTGTATGTGTGAACTGACATATCTGACGCACAAGTTAGTGTTTGAACTGATGATGTCTGAACATGTCAAGAACCACCACGTCACACTTGCTGCTGGTATCTTTTGTGGCATTATAAACAATTGTTACTTTTAAAAAATGTTGTGCAGCTTATGCTTATGTGGTTGTTGAGAGAACTGTTTGTATGGTTGTGGCAGAAATGTTTGTTTGGTTGTGGCAGAAATGTTTGTGTAGTTGTGGCAGAAATGTTTGTGTGGTTGTTGACAGAGGTGTTTGTGTGGTTGTTGACAGAATGTTTGTGTGGTTGTTGACAGAGCTGTTTGTGTGGTTGTTGACAGAGCTGTTTGTGTGGTTGTTGACAGCGCTGTTTGTGTGGTTGTTGACTAACTGTTGGTGTGGTTGTTAATGGAATTGTTTGTGTGGTTGTGGCAGAAATGTTTGTTTGGTTGTGGCAGAAATGTTTGTATGGTTGTGGCAGAAATGTTTGTTTGGTTGTGGCAGAAATGTTTGTATGGTTGTGGCAGAAATGTTTGTTTGGTTGTGGCAGAAATGTTTGTGTGGTTGTGGCAGAAATGTTTGTGTGGTTGTTGACAGAGCTGTTTGTGTGGTTGTTGACAGCGCTGTTTGTGTGGTTGTTGACAGAATGTTTGTGTGGTTGTTGACTAACTGTTGGTGTGGTTGTTAATGGAATTGTTTGTGTGGTTGTTAATGGAATTGTTTGTGTGGTTGTGGCAGAAATGTTTGTGTGGTTGTTGACAGAGGTGTTTGTGTGGTTGTTGACAGAGCTGTTTGTGTGGTTGTTGACAGCGCTGTTTGTGTGGTTGTTGACAGAGCTGTTTGTGTGGTTGTTGACAGAGCTGTTTGTGTGGTTGTTGACAGAATGTTTGTGTGGTTGTTGACTAACTGTTGGTGTGGTTGTTAATGGAATTGTTTGTGTGGTTTTTGACAGAACTGTTTGATGTTTCTTGACAGAACTGTTTGTTCACAGAAAGAATATCAACTGTTCAATCAGTGAATCTATAGAGAGGTTCAAGGAGATCACTGATGCAGCACATAAGCTCAGCATTCCAGTACGAGGGTATGTGCCAGAAGTGCCATTGTATGTCAGTAGTACTGTTGTGTGTGTCAGAACTTCACTTGTGTACCAAAAGTACCATCATATCTGTCAGTACCATTGTATTTGCCAAAGATGCCAATTTTTGTGTCTGTCATTGTATGTGTCACAGCTGCCATTATATCAGTTTAGATATGTCAATAGTACCATTGTAGATGTTAGTAATTCATTTTTATGTCCATAGTAGCGTAGGTTGTCACCATAAGAACGAGCGTAAATTGTATGTTATAGGTTGTCAATATATGAATATGTTTGAATGGTTGCTCATAGTCTGTAAAAGAGAATTATTTGTTCACATTGTCATTGTACCAAAAACCTTTGCTGACACATCTTTCAGTGATAGCATCTATCCTAACTGTTATGAAATACATTCGAAATTTTGTTTTATAAGAGGGGATCCTACCATTATGATGAACATTCTTAAGTGGATGAAATCATTGCAGGTAGGCTGAGATGGTGCTGTATCATTCCTATGTATGTGTGGGGGTGTTCAACAGCACTAATTTACCACTATATGAAGTTCTCTGTGTGTGGGTGTTCGACAGCACTAGTTTACCAATAAATGAAGTTCTGTATGTGTGGGTGTTTCGACAGCACTACTTTACCACAATATGAAGTTCTCTGTGTGTGGGTGTTCAACAGCACTAGTTTACCACTATATGAAGTTCTCTGTGTGTGGGTGTTCAACAGCACTAGTTTACCACTATATGAAGTTCTCTGTGTGTGGGTGTTCAACAGCACTAGTTTACCACTATATAAAGTTCTCTATGTGTGGGTGTTTGACAGCACTAGTTTTCAACTATATGAAGTTGTGTGTATGTGGATGCTTGACAGCACTAGTTTACCAATATATGAAGTTTTGTGTGTAGGTTCGACAGCACTAGTTTACCAATATATGAAGTTCTGTGTGTAGGTTCCACAGCACTAGTTTACCATCCTATGAGGTTCTATATTTGGGTGTTTGTCAGCACTGGTTACCACCATATGAGTATCTATATGTGGGTGTTTGTCAGCGCTATTTTACCCCCATATGAGGATCTATATGTTGGTGTTTGTCAGCACTGGTTACCACCATATGAGGTTCTATGTGTGGGTGTTTGACAGTGATAGTTTACCACCATATGAGGTTATGTTTGTGGGTGTTTGACAGCATTATTTCACCCCTATATGAGGATCTATGTTTAGGTGTTTGTCAGCACTGGTTACCGCCATATGAGGATCTATGTGTGGGTGTTTGTCAGCACTGGTTACCACCATATGAGGTTCTATGTGTGGGTGTCTGACAATGATAGTTTACTACCATATGAGGTTCTGTTTGTGGGTGTTTGACACTACTAGTTTCCACCATATTTTTTTTTTTTTTCATCGAACACCGGCTGTGAATTCCAGTGGAAGGTCAGGTAATCGTCCGCTTGGACTTTTGGCTTTCACCTGGACCTGATTTTTGCGTGTACAACCGTTTTTTATTTCCCTGCCTCATGGGCAGCTGTACGCCGACTTCGAAGGAAGACGTCAGGCCTATTTCTAGGGTGACTGTGGCCATTGTTTTGTGTGGGTCAAGACGTTGCCTGATTTGTGTGGTGTCCACTTTGTCTCCTTTGCCGCAGGTATTGCCCCCGGAGTACCCCTTTGGGTCGGCCCCCTGTGGAACAGTTAGCCCTCAAGGGAAGGCAGGGGCAGATCTTGGGCATTCCCCGCCATCCAAGGAGGCATCCATGTATGCAGAGCCGACACATGGCGCTCTGTTTCTTTCTGGGCTCACCCAAGGAATCGTCACGTCCTGCACAAGCCTGCTTAACCTCACAACCGTATCAGGCCTCCCGCTCGGACAGGGGCTGCGCCTCTGGGGGTCAGCGGGGAGCAGCTCGCGGGTTTTGGACTTTTTAAACCACACAGATTAGGTACATTCTTTTTTCTTCGCACGTTAGATTTCTTTGACGAGCCGTTAGCCCGACAGATTTTACATCCTGCATCAGGCATATCGTTATCAGTTTTGTCCCAACACTCGGGCAAGTGGTGTCTTTGGGTGTGGACATTCGGTCTTTTTCAGTTCAATTCAAATTTTGAGGTCAGATTTTGATCCGTATGATCTAGTTTTGTCGGAAATTTAGAATGGCTGCTGTTGTGGTGTACCCCAGCGCGGTGACGACGACACTGAGGGTTAACCGAGGATGTACATGAATGGCCAGCCTATGGATGGTTTCTGTTGTGGTGTACCCCAGCGCGGTGACGACGACAGAGGATGTGCAGTGAACAATGTTCTCTTTATTCCGCAGTCTTTTAACCAAGGGTTGTAATTTTGGCTGTACGTTTGGCAGACCTACTCATGTTTCTAATGAGTTTTGATAACAATTTTTTCACCCAAGCGTTTGGGGGCGGGCTGATGAGAGCCACAAGGACACATCACCTCTGGGGGCCGCCAAACTCCGAGATCCCCTGGCAGCTCTGTTAATGCTCATTTGAGACATTATCCGTGGCGCACGACGAGGACGTGCTGCCGGGGTCTTGCGTGAGGTTCCGTACAACCAGGATATTAAAGGACTGGCGCCCGAGTGACGTACGGAGTATCTCCTTATACACATCATGTTGGACTTAACTTCCCCTCACGCCTGTGACATAAATCACCGCGCCACAGTTTCCACCATATGATTTTGTATGTGTATCTGTGTATATCTGACAGCACTGATTTATTAGCGGCTTGAAACACAAAACTGCACCTGCGCATGTGTAGTCAGTAATTCAGTGAGTATGATTTGGAGGGTTCAGGCAGGTTCAGTGTGAAGGTGGTGGCTCACATCATTACAGAAGTAAACTGTGCATGGAGTCACCTTTATTTTCATTCCCATATATGTGGGCATCAGTGGAAATGAAAGAGCTGATAGGCTGGCTGGATCCGCTGTCACTACCGAGGGTCAGCCTAAGTATCATGCCCTCTGAAAAGTGGGAAGGGTGGAGAACTTTGGAGGCAGTGAATCCACATGACTTGCCAGAATGATGAACTTAAGAGTTAATGTCAGCATAGCAAAAAACTAGATGCACACCAGGCACATCAGACGACTTGTTAATCAACATAGAACTGCTTGCTAAGTTTCATACTTAGGGGAGAATCTGAGTACCTATGGACATGTCCGGAGTGCAGTAATGATAACCCAACTAACTAACTAGTTTACCACCACATGAGGTTCTCTGTGTGGGTGTTTGGCAGCACTAGTTTACTGTCATATGAGGTTCTCTGTGTGGGTGTTTGACAGCACTAGTTTACTGTCATATGAGGTTCTCTGTGTGGGTGTTTGACAGCACTAGTTTACTGTCATATGAGGTTCTCTGTGTGGGTGTTTGTGTGACAATACGCTCGGTGACTCCAGAATGTCTTTCCTCAACCTACTTTTATTTCTTTGTATTTTGAAAGTATACAGGAAAATAAGGATTTGGATACATCCTTAATCTAAGTAAGACGACCACATCACACCTTTAATTCTCCTGGACCGTTGGTCATATCAAACACTAAAACTTTTTCCCAGATGTTAAGTGTTAAGGTACAGAGATAAGACTGACCAAGCAGACTTACTGACTGGAGATTTGCACACCATTTGTTGGTGTCAGATAGTTATTCCCCCTGCCAGATCTTCAGGAACAGATAACAAGGGCTAATTGCCATTATCTCCCCCTGAGGTTACCTAAACTGGATTGCCGGTCAGATCGTCAATATGGACACAGTGAGCGGAAAGTGTTAACAGAAGAATTGACACCGTCTGATTTTATTGTGATGGCAGGTGAAGTAGGCCGGAGGTGTGACTTGTCTTATTTGCTCTGGTCAGATGAATTGACCAGGAGATCCTAGCGTGGGAATTCAAACAATTGTTGTACAGTCACTGACTGACAGCGAATAAACTTACCCACAGGGGAGGAGCTATGATATCCTTGAATGAGAATGATTTTAAGCGTAATGTAGGAGGAGCTTGATAAAAGTTATAAAGGGCTGAACTCTAGGTCTGGTAAATGAGATCCTGTCCAGCACATGCCATCTGTTGGGCTTACCTAAGCTTGAGACAGAACTTTTGGCATCGTGGTTTCATTTTTCCAGGTAAGATCGAAATTAGGTTCAAATCTATATTTTATGATAGAGTTCTAACTGTCTTTTTACTCAAGTGTGTGTCTTCATCACTTTGTAGTACTCCTAGGCGGACATTTCTTCATTCTCGTAGGGCACTGTCACATTGCTTTATATCCTATTTGATAGTGTCATGAATGTTTTTTCGTGCACATGTGTTTCAATGTTGTAAAACCTAAATGTTGTTGTTGCCATTGAAATTTAATGAACTATCATGTTTTTAAAATCACAAGCGTGAAGATAACTTTGGCAATCTTTTCACGTGTGGTTAATGTGAATCTGTATTACATACAGCTAACACACTGAAATGTGTTTAACTCTCGGGAGGCTAATGCGGAGATTGATCCCGGAGAGTAAATCCACGAGATTTGTTATTTGATTCGCCCCAGAACTATTGTTAGCATTCTGGGCGCGTCGATTGTTCCAAGCATAGATTCCAGAACTGGTTCTGTCTGACTGATTGTCATTTTGAGTCGGTACGAGAGATGGCACCTGACGTAGAAGACTTGACTATCATTACAGGACGTGTAGAGGAAGGCAGAAGATGTAACAGTTGGAATGTGAGACATAAGCCCTTCCAAATTGGACAGGAGTGAATGTGAGCATGAGGGAGAGATGAAATGTTTTATTTAAATAAACATGCTTGATGTTAGTATAATATACATGCTTAGTGTACATCTAGAGCAGATACTACAAATATGCGCTTGTTTCTTCATTCTCCAGTTCCCACATTGGGCAGGGACTAGTAGGCATCCATTATTTGCCGACCGTCGAGTGTAACGACCTGCAGAAAGCAGTGAGGACGACAAACTGGAAAAGATAGGCAGGGTCTCAAGCCGAGAACTGTCCAAAGGTTGTTACTTTCCAATACCTTTATGATTTCATCATTCACATAACCTAAACTCTACTAGCCTAAACAAGTTCATTTTATTTTAGTCAGATTTATTAAATAAATCTTTTTGATGTTTAAACATAGTTGAGTAAATTGTGTACTTAGGTTCAAGTGTCTTTGTGCATATTAGTTTACTTCAGCTAACAAATATTTAAATCACTTGATGGGGGCTTTTAAGTAATGCCAGGAGAGGAGAACAGTAGGAGGGGTTAACTGAGTATCCTGATATTATCTCAGTGGGTTCATCTTGATCTCTATCTATCCCTTCTCCTACTCCTGTGGATACAAGTACAGCAACTTTCATTTCATGGAACGAGCCACTCGCTGTTTTCTTGGCTATCCATGACTGTCTAGGATCAACATAGCTTAGATAATAGTCCAGTTTCTCACGTGGGTGGGCATTGTTAAGGATCAAACCCACACCCTCACTATATCAGTGTATTTACCCACGTGGGCGCGCGACAGTTTGACAGCACTAGTTTACTGTCATATGAGGTTCTATGTGTGGGTGTTTTGCAGCACTAGTTTACTGCCATATGAGGTTCTCTGTGTGGGTGTTTGACAGCACTAGTTTACTGTTTTATGAGGTTCTCTGTGTGGGTGTTTGACAGCACTAGTTTACTGCCATATGAGGTTGTGTGTTTGTTATGTGTGGCAGCACTAGCTTACCACTATATAAGATTCTGTGTGTATGTCAGCACTAGTTTACCACCACATAAGGTTCTATATATGGGTGTTTGTCAGCATCAGTTTGCTAACACATTATGTTCTATGGCTGGGTGTGTGACAGCGCTGTTTACTTCCCTATATGGTTCTGTATATATGTGTGTCCACCATTTGTGGTTATAAGTATGTGTATAGCAGCCCTTGTTTACCACATCATGAGGTTCTTTGTGCAGGTATTTGACAGCAGTTTACCAAAGAATGAGGTTCCATGTGTGGGTCTGTGAGAGCAGTAGTTTACCACATCATGAGGTTCCATGTGTGGGTATGTGACAGCAGTAGTTTACCACATCATGAGGTTCTATGTGTGGGTCTGTGACAGCAGTAGTTCACCACATCATGAGGTTCTTTGTGTGGGTCTGTGACAGCAGTAGTTTACCACATCATGAATGAAATTCCATGTGTGGGTCTGTAACAGGAGTAGTTTACCACATCATGAGGTTCCATGTGTGGGTCTGTGACAGCAGTAGTTCACCACATCATGAGGTTCCATGTGTAGGTGTGTGGTGGCACTAGTTTGCCACCAGAAGAGGTTTCTGCAATACTTTTGGTCTCTAAATTGATGGCTGATTATGTTCTGATAAAATTGGAATATGTTATTGTTTTTGTACATTCACAGTTCTCAAACCTTCTTTGTATTTCATTTCAGGTATGTATCCTGTGTTTTAGGCTGTCCTTACGAGGGTGATATCAGTCCTGACAAAGTTGCACAGGTCAGTGTTAGCTGCGTCAGTGGTCAGCCTTGTGTTACACGTCAGCGTTAATTGTGTCACAGGTCTGCCTTAGTAGTGTCACAGGTCAGCCTAGTGTCACAGGTCAACTTTAGTAGTGTCACAGGTCAACTTTAGTAGTGTCACAGGTCAATCTTAGTAGGTCACAGGTCAATCTTAGTTGTGTCACAGGTCAGCCTTAGTAGTAGCACAGGTCAGCATTAGAAGTGTCATAAGTCAGCCTTAGTAGTGTCACAGGTCAGCCTTAGTAATGTCACAAATCATTCTTAGTAATGACACAGATAAGTCTTAGTAATGACACAGATAAGTCTTAGTAATGACACAGATACGTCTTAGTAGTGTCATAGATCAGTCTTAGTATTGTCACAAGTCAGCCTTAGTAATGTCACAGTAACTGTTATCAAGCCATGACTGTACATGTGATGTTGGTGTTCCTATGTGTGTACATAAAAAATCATAAACAGTTGTTGTATAACTGGGTGCTATAAAGCCATGACTGTACATGTGATGTTGGTGTTCCTATGTGTGTACATATAAAATCATAAACAGTTGTTGTATAACTGGGTGCTATAAAGCCATTACTGTACATGTTTTGTTTGACCATCTTGTAAAATACTTTGTTAACTGCCACTGTCATTGACTGATTCTGTGTCTTGTTTATTCTCAGTAACTCTGCTCATCCTCTGTGAGTGTTTATAGGAATTTGTAAGTGTAGTTGTGTGTCTTTTCAGCACTGACTTCTTTGACACTGCCTCTTTTTTTTCTGTGATGTCTAGGGCTCAGTATGGGCTAAAAAAGAATAAACGCACTGCATCATCAACAAGTATGGCGTAGGAGTCGACTAATTAGGGATGGGTCCTTCAGAGATGAGGTGTGTCCTTCAAAGTTAGGAGTGCATCTGAGTAAAAAGTGAGGAATTAACAGTCTGCATACAAATAAACCAGATCTAAAAATGGATGGGTATATAGGGCTCAGGTTCCAGAACAAGACCAAAGTCTAGAACTGGACAAACAGCCAGAACTGTCTGCTGAAGTTCATCGCCAAAGAAGATGCCCTCTTTCACCTCTTCTGGTGTCCAGAGAGATATAAAAGTTCTGCTTTCCTCACAATCTTATGGCTAAAAGTTTTATGGATATTGTAAGTTTGTGTTTCGTCTTTTCCACACTATCATCAGGTAGCCAAAAGTTTGTTGGACATTGGCTGCTATGAGATCTCGCTAGGGGACACAATTGGAGTTGGCACGCCAGGAGCCGTGAAGAAGCTGATTGCTGTTGTCTCTCAGGTTATCCCAATAGACCAGATTGCTATACATTGTCATGACACGTATGGCCAGGCCCTGGCAAACATCCTGGCTGCACTGCAGGTATGCTTGTTGTGTGTCATTGACTGTTGTTTGTCATAGTGTATTACTGGCTGTTTTGTATCACTTGCTGTTGTCTATTTGCATTGTTGACTGTTGAATCTTAGTGTCTATACCTTACTTTTGTGTCTCTTTGTGGTGTCATTGACTGCTGGGTCTTGCTGTGTATCATTGCTGTTTATCTCATTGTGTATTTCTAGCTGTAGTGTCTCAATGTGTATCATTGGCTATGGTGTCTTATTGTGTATCATTGGCTATGGTGTCTCATTGGCTATGGTGTCTCATTGGCTATGGTGTTGCATTGTGTATCACTGGCTGATGGGTCTTATTGGCTGATGGGTCTCACTGTGTATCACTGGTTGTTTATCTCATTGTGTATTATTGGCTATGGTGTCTCATTGGCTATGATGTCTCATTGGCTATGGTGTCTCATTGGCTATGGTGTCTCATTGGCTATGGTGTCTTATTGTGTATCATTGGCTATGGTGTATCATTGGCTATGGTGTCTCATTGGCTATGGTGTCTCATTGGCTGTGGTGTCTCATTAGCTGTGGTGTCTCAATGGCTATGGTGTCTCATTGGCTATGGTGTTGCATTGTGTATCACTGGCTGATGGGTCTTATTGGCTGATGGGTCTCACTGTGTATCACTGGTTGTTTATCTCATCTTATTGGATGAATATTAATGGATATTGTTTTTCATTACATTACTGGATGTTGTGTTTTTATTACATCTTTGGATATATTTGTATTTTATTACAGAATGTTGAGAAGCAAATGATGTGTTCTGTGATATCACAACATGTTTTATAATGAATCTTGTGCTTAATCACATCACCGGATGTTGTGTAATCAGTATTGTGTCTTAGGACATCCCTTGATGTTGTGTCATGAATGTTGTTATTCTGTGATATCATTAAATATTGTATCATGAATGATGTTATGCTGCCTCACCAACAGATGGGAGTGAAAGTATTTGACAGCTCTGCAGCCGGTTTAGGAGGATGTCCGTATGCTAAAGGGGCCAGTGGGAATGTCTCCACAGAAGATGTTGTCTACATGATGAATGGGCTGGCCATCAGAACTGTGAGTTTGTGACTTGTTCAGCATTTTAGAATTTATATAAATGGGCTGGCCATCAGAACTGTGAGTGTGTGACTTGTTCAGCATTTTAGAATTTCTATGAATGGCCTGGCCATTAGAACTGTAAGTTTGTTTTTAACATATTAGAATGTTTGTGAATCTGTACTTTACTCTCTGATTTCTTCAAGCATTTTAGAATGTTGACTAATTGTCTGTCAATCTGTACTGTACTGTTTGACTTCTTCTGTATTTAAGAATTTTGTGTTAAATGGTCCGACAGTCAGCATCTGTAAGTTTATTGCTTCTGGCAGTAAGCCTGCTCTCTGAGACAAGCATCATGTTTCTACTGTTTGTGGAAGGACAATGTCATGTAGACACCTGATCTGTGTCTCAGTGGGTAAACTCATGGTGTATGTCTCAGAGAGTAGATGGTAGACACCTGATGTATGTCTCAGAGACAAGACGGTAGACACCTGATGTGTCTCAGAGAGTATATGGTAGACACCTGATGTGTGTCTCAGAGAGTAGATGGTAGACACCTGATGTGTGTCTCAGAAAGTAGATGGTAGACACCTGATGTCTCAGAGAGTAGATGGTAGACACCTGATGTATGTCTCAGAAAGTAGATGGTAGACACCTGATGAATGTCTCAGAAAGTAGATGGTAGATATCTGATGTATGTCTCAGAGAGAAGACAGTAGACACCTGATGTATGTCTCAGAGAGTAGATGGTAGACACCTGATGTATGTCTCAGAGAGTAGATGGTAGACACCTGATGTATGTCTCAGAAAGTAGATGGTAGACACCTGATGTATGTCTCAGAAAGTAGATGGTAGACACCTGATGTATGTCTCAGAGAGTAGATGGTAAACACTTAATGTATGTCTTAGAGAGTAGGTGGTAGACACCTGATGTATGTCTCAGAGAGTAGATAGTAGACACCAGATGTATATCTCAGAGAGCAGACATTGTAAATATTTTAGTTAGTAGTTAATCTTGTTACATCTTGAGTTAATCTTGTTACATCTTGAGTTGTTCCCTAAAGTCAGTGTTGATACATAACATCTGAAGTTACTCTTTCTTAAGTTAATCTTGTTACATAACATATCAAGTTGCTGTCTCCAGTTAATCTTGTTACATAACATCTCAAGTTGCTCTCTCCAGTTAATCTTGTTACATAACATCTCCAGTTGCTCTCTCTCTCTCTATCTATCTCTCTCTCTTTCAAGTTAATCTTGTTACATAACATCTCAAGTTGCTCTCGCTCAAGTTTGTCTTGTTACATAACATCTCCAGTTGCTCTCTCTTTCAAGTTAATCTTGTTACAAAACGTCTCCAGTTGCTCTCTCTCACTCAAGTTTATCTTGTTACAAAATATCTCCAGTTGCCCCTCTCAATCTCTCCGTCTCTCTCTCTCTCGCTTAAAAGTTAATCTTGTTTCATATCATCTCAGGTTACTCTCTCTTAAGATAATCTTGTTTCATTTAATCTGAGGTTACTCTCTCTCAAGTTAATCTTGTTACATAAGATCTCAGGTAGCTCTCTCTCAAGTTACGAATGTGTTTGCTGCTGTCTTCCCCAGGGTGTGGACATCCACAAGCTGATCGATGCTGGTCACTTTATATCTTCTGCCATTGGACGAAAGTCAGGATCAAAAGTTGCCATGGCCACAAAGTCATCTTTATAACAGAATGGTGCAGATATATGTCTGTCATGTTGTAAAGTATTTATTTTATCTGAGAATAGCAACAAATAATAACATTAAGTTTCACATTTTTAAAAATGTGTTTGAGTCAGGAAAATCAGGGATGTTAGCCACTCAAATTGCATTTGTTTAATTTCACCAGAAATTATCTAAATTTTTATCACGGCTGCAATATGATGTGTGTAGTTCTAATGCTCAGTTCACAAATAGGAAATAGAAATATGGCATTAGAAAGAAGAGTGCATATGAGAGAGAGAGTGTGTGTGTGGGGGTGCATTTGAGAGAGAGACTGGAGGAAGGGGTCAGGGAGTGGAGTCATTGATGATGGAATACATTTTAGCAGAATTACCTGTGTTGTTCTGAATAAAATTGTGATATTTGGGTGATTTCTTTATCTCATCACATGGATCTCATCATACACATGCACATGACATCCTATCACTTACTTGCACACACACTGACACTCATACACACATCATAGATCACACATTACATCTCATCACATGGATCTCATCATGCACATGACATCCCATCATACACTTGCACACACACTTACACTCACACACATCATAGATCACACATGACATCCCATCACATACTTGCACACACATGCACACATATCATAGATCACACATTACATCACACACTTGCACATCTCAGATCACACACATTTCATCTCTGCGCCCACACACACACCTCATTACAGATCACACTTACACACACCCACATGTGTGTGGTTTCATGTTGTTTGTTTGTAAACAAATTGTGTGATTTCATGTTGTTTGTTTGTACACATGTTTGATTAGTTTCAGATTGTTTGTTTGTAAACAGATATGTGTGGTGTCATGTTGTTGTACACATATGTGTGTGGTTTCATGTTATTTGTATCTATGTTTATGTGGTTTCATGTTGTTTGTTTGCAGACACATTTAGGTGATTTTGTATTGTTTGTACACATGTTTGTGTCCGTTTCACGTTGTTTATTTATACACATATGTGTGTAGTTTTATGTTGTTTGTACACATATATGTGGTTTAATATTGTTTGTATGTACCCATGGTTATATGCTTTCATATTATTTGTTTGTATACACATTTGTGTGGTTTCATAGTGCTTGTTTGTACCATGTTTGTGTGCTTTCATGTTGTTTATTTGTACACATATATGTGTGGTTTCATGTTGTTTATTTACACACATATATGTGGTTTCATGTTGTTTGTTTGTACACATGTTTATGTGGTTTTATGTTGTTTGTACACAAATATGTGTGGTTTCATGTTGTTTGTATGCATGATTGTGTGGTTTCATGTTGTTTGTTTGCACCATGTTCATGAGGTTTCATATTGTTTATTTGTGTTTATGTGGTTTCATTTGTTTGTTTGTTCACATGTTTGAGTGGTTTCATGATGTTTGCTTGTAAACATGTTTGTGTTATTTCATGTTGTGTGGGGTTTATGTACATGGTTATGTGCTTTCATGTTGTTTGTATACATGGTTGTGTGGTTTCATGTTGTTTGTATACATGGTTGTGTTCTTTCATGTTGTTTGTATACATGGTTATGTAGTTTCATGTTGTTTGTATACATGGTTGTGTGGTTTCATGTTGTTTGTATACATGGTTGTGTGGTTTCATGTTGTTTGTATACATGGTTGTGTGATTTTATGTTGTTTGTGTACATGGTTATATGGTTTAAAGTTTGTATACATGGTTGTGTGCTTTCATATTGTTTGCATACAAGGAGATGTGGTTTTATGTTGTTTGTATCCACGGTTTTGTGCTTTCATGTTGTTTGATTGATCACATGCTTGTATTGAACATGTTGATTGAGCGGATTTTGCAAAGTTCTGCATCTTTCTGATACTGAACAGATTTTTGCAAAGTTCCACATTTGTCTGATATTAAATTTTACGATTACTCTCAGACTTTCTTATTTCAACTTTATGTGTGTGTGTGTGTGTGTGTGACTGCTGTCAGCATTGATAAATGTACACAGAACCTGCTTGAAGACCTATGCAGGTTTGGGAGAAAAAAGGTACGGAAAAACAAGGGTTGTTAGAATCAATGAATCACAAATTTACATCATTACACTTGGGGCATTCCCATATGTGGTCTGTCCCTTTCCTCAGCAGCCAACGAAGAGTTCCCATATTGAAAGTGCCAGGGTCCTCGTGTGGGTTCAGGCGCCCTATTATAGGGTTGACTCACTGGGAGCTTCCTTCAGAGTCGGAGTGCATCTGCCTGAGAAGCAAGGAACCAACAGTCTGCACACAAATGTCAGATGTGTCAAACAGATGCACACGCAAAACTCTGGTTCTGAAACAGGACTGCAGTCCAAAAGTGGACAGACAACAAGAACTTCCCGCTGGAGTTTACAACATGTGAACGCAAAGATGAAGAAGAAAAAAGTGCCAGGTGTACTGTGACAAAAATTTTGCTTGTTTTTTCCCCCTGTGGTCAGAAAATCATTGAGACCTTCTGCTCACTCCCAGCTAATTAATTCTCTCCAGATACAGATGGTCTGCCTGTTCTTTTGCACTGTTTACATGATCCCAGAGCACTCTCAATGTGCCTGCTTTATTGTAAAGTAGTTTACTGGGCAGAGGAACAGCAGCAGCCAGGCTATCAGCCTGTTCATTACCACACACACCCAAATATCCTAAGCACACACAAAGAACCAAAAAAAAAATGATATGCTTCTTATCTGAATTTAATCAGACATTGCAATCTGAGCTCGAGTCATCAGTGTCTAACTTTGTTTACACTTCTCTCAGCTTTTAGATGCCTTCCTGATCTCTGTGACACCTCTTTAAAATGTTGAACACCTTCCTAAACTACTCTTGGACACCTATTTTAGGTGTTTAACACCTTCCTGGACCCTCTATATGGCACCTCTTTCAGATGTTGAACACATTCCTGGACCCTCTATATGGCACCTCTTTCAGATGTTGAACACCTTCCTGGACCCTCTATATGGCACCTCTTTCAGATGTTGAACACCTTCCTGGACCCTCTATATGGCACCTCTTTCAGATGTTGAACACTTTTCTGAACCATCTCTCTCAGGTATTGAACACTTTCATGTGGCACGTTGAATTCAGTCACAGGCATGAGGGAAACTTAAGCCATTGTGCTGTGTACAAGCAGATATTCTATACCTCACTATGGGCGGCAGCAGGCTGTTTAGTGGTTTTATGGATCCTTACGCACGACTCATGTCAAAAATAAGTCCTATATATTTTAGTGAATTATCTCTATGTTACTGTGTATATTTTAGCTTTGTCTGAAGAAGTATGACATGAATTTACTTGAGCTGTCAGTGATCATGGGTTGTACACCGCACTCTCTTCTGGGACATAGGCAGGGGCTGTGAGGTAGGGGCGGGGCTAGCACCAGTTCTAGATGTTGTGGGGTGGTTCAAAGCAGTGACGTCGTGTAATATAGAACACGCCACATCACTGTTGATAGCATCAGAGATGATACAGCGCGACACCCCTGTAACATAGACTTGCCCATGTAACATGTGAGCAAGCATGAATGAAAGGTCAACCAGTGTGTATTTGAGTCGAAAGGTGTGGTAAGAATCCTGCTGTGTATAAGGAGATACTCCATACCTAACCTCAGGCGTCAGCAGGTTCTGTGCTGGTTTAATGGATCCTCATACAAGATCGCCTCATGTCCTCGTCGTGCACTACGGGTCATGACTGATATCAGCCTAGACCAGTGTTTCCCAGATTTTTATGGCCTGTTGACCCCTTTTCAGTTTTAAAAAAAAAAAAAAAACACCCAGCGCCCTCCTCTCCTTGGAAGTAACATCATAATCATGTGCCACGCCAAAAAGCATAGACGATTATCAGTCGCCATTCTACACAATCAGCAGAATCACTGAACTGGGGGCCTTCTTGGCGAAGCGGTCACGCTGTTTGCCTCACGCTCTGATGGTCATGGGTTCGTTTAACGGCTGCCCTCTTCAGTTCACGAGTGCACATTTTTATGGAGATCCCTGGGGAGCATCGCCGGAGCTACGGAGTTCATGCTCTAGGTAGGCAGCTTGTTCTGCAGAGAGATACTGATTCATATGGGATAATCATCATCATCGGTTCTCGTTGCGCCCAGTGGCACATGAGGCTTCAGAGAGGACTTTCCATACTTTCCTGTCCTGTGCAGTCTTCAGTGCAGTTCTCCATGTCAAAGATGCCACACTCAGGTCACTTTCCATCGTTCTTCTCCATGTTGTTTTTGGGCGCCCCTGTTTTCTCTTTCCCTCTGGTGTCCATGTGAGAGCTGTTTTGGCAGTTATATCAGGATTCATTCTCATAACGTGGCCAAGCCATTTCTCTTGGTTATCATATTGTCTAAAGTTTCTTGGTTTGTGACTTGAAGTAGTTTAGTGTTTGAGATTGTATCTGGCCAGACAATTTTGATAATTCTACGTAGACATGTGTGGTGGAAGGTAGACAGCTTGTGTGCATCCTTTTTGGTCATTCTCCAGCATTCCGCTCCATAAAGAAGAACTGGCAAAATGATGCTCTTGTAGAGTCGGAGTTTCGTTCCTCTGCAGTAATTGTTGGATTTCCAGATTTGCCCCATCCTTCCAAAAGCAGCTCTAGCTTTGTTCAGACGTGACTGTATGTCCTCTTCAGTCCCTCCCGGTAGGGACACCACACTGCCAAGATATGTGAAATGTTCTACATTTTCAAGAGTTTGGTTATTTATGGTCACTGCCTCTCAATGTTCTGTCTACTGTGTTCTTTAGTATCCAATCAATCACAAGGTTGAAGAGGAGAGATGACATAACACATGCCAGTCTCACACCTGTCTTTACTGGGAAAGATGTAATTTTTTATACTGCAGGAAAAGTCTTTATAGAAGAGAGCAATTATGTTGACAATTTTTTTCTGGAATTCCATAATGTCGTAAAATTTTCCATAGACTGTCTCTATGTACGCTGTCAAAAGCTTTCTCAATGTCCACAAAATTAATA